CTAATTTTTTTAATATAATTTTTTTATAATAAAATTAGCCCGCAATTATCACATCTAATATTAAATTTCATAATAGTCACTATCACACCAAATCTAAGATGCGATATATAGTATACTTATATAAATTTCGCTCACTATAATCACTTCAAAGTATGTAACCTTAAAAAGCATTGCATGTACTATAGAAAGAATTTATATGATTGGCTGTTTAACCAATTTAATTTTATATTTTTATATAGTTTAAAGTACATTTTAAAAAAATCAAACCTACAAACTAATAAAAATAAGTATATAGAAAGTTCTATTAGGATTTTAGGACTCCATTATTAAAAATAATCAAAATTATCTTTTATTTTAGCATAAATTTATCTATTTTTTAGAAGTCATTATTATGCTAACTTCTCTAAAACAAAAAGGGATTCATTTCTTATGATGTCTGCGCTAAAATTATAATATCTACACTTCTAACTTTGACTCATATATGCTTTCCACAGGCAACTCTTTCTATCAAGTTTATGCAAGAGTATATACACGACTAGAAAAATTCATATGGGTTAAGCTATTAAGGATACATAAGAATGTCTTATATTGTAAAGGTAGGATTAACATGGTTATGATGGTACGTACGTACATGAATGAACAGACAAATATGTATATACGTACATGCAATACGACTGTGTGTACTATAGTATACTATAATTAACTTTATATTACTGTATCATTTTGCCTTTTAAATTATATTGATATACGAATTGACTTTGGTTAGATTCTATGTGCAAGCTATTTTTTTTTCATTGCCGTTAAGTATTTAATACGTAACAATGATATATCTTGAATACTTAGTGATTATAGTCGCTTTTTCATTAAACTTAGCAATAAGAATCGCATTTTTTTTTTTTTATACCATTGGGCTGTATTTTTTTTTTTTTTTTTTCATTAAAATTTTACAATGCCTAACGATAAAAAAAAAAAATTAATCAGTAAAAGCCGTACCAGACTTACGGCCATACAAAAAAAACAAATTCAAGAAAAAAAAAAAAAATCCTAATCTACGAGATGAGGAAATTGCTGCAGAATTCCAGTGCGATCGAAGCACAGTATCAAAGATCCTGAAGCAAAAACAATGGTCTGATATAAGTGAAGTTTCAAAAAATGCAAATGCATTTAAAACAACCAGTCCTAAATTTCCTCAGATTGAACAAGCCCTTGGAATGTGGATTGGTACTGCTGAGCAAAGGCAACTTATTCTTACAGGAGAAGTAATTCGCCAGAAGGCTCTTGAGTTTGCAGCATTGTTAGGAGTTCCA